AACAATGCAAATGTAAAACTATTTTATCAACCGTGAAGCTGGATACACATGTACAGTTTGATTGGGTCATCGGGCTTCTCATTAGTAAGAGGTTTTTCTGTATTAGGGATATTAAGCATCTGACATGTGTCCTAAATGTTTTTCCTATTTGTGTTTTATTTTTTACTTTGTTTATGGTGTTTGTTGTACAGAAGTTTCTAATTTTTATGTTGTCACATCTTTCAATCTTTTTCTTTATTGTTTATAGCATTTGTGCCATGCCTAGAAGTTTCCATCCAAAGATTATACAACTATTCATCCACGCTTTCTTCTAGTACTTTTATGGTTTTATTTTTTACATTCAAAACATCTGGAATTTATTTGGGGAGGATGCTGGCATTTTTTTCCCCCCAAGTGGCTAGCCAGTTGTCCCAATAGCATTCTATAAACTTTCTTTTTCCCACTCCCTTGAAAATGTCCTTTACCATATATTGAATTCTGAGATTTACATGGGTATATTTCTGGAACCTCTAACATGTTCCATTAATCTGCCTTGCCTTTTCCTAGTATGACACCACTTATGTCACTGCAATTTTATAATATACTTTATTGTCTGGGAGGGCTGTTTTCCCCTAATTTTCCTTCTTTTTTAAGGATTTCCTGGTTTTTCTCACCTTTCTATTCATTCTAATGAATTTTAGATTTATTTCATCAAGTATCCAAAATCTTGTTGAGATTTTAATTAGTGTTGGGTTAAGTTTTCAAAATAATTTAAAGAGAAAGGACCTCTTAACAAAACTGTATCTGCTTGTTCAAGAACAAGGGACATCTTCATTGATCACCCTCTTCAGGGTTTCCAGTAAGGGGCAAGCACTTTATGCATGTAAGTTCCATGCAATTCTTATTACATCTATTCCTAGTATTTTCTATTCCGTGGATATTCATTATATTTTCTATTTGATTATAGTTTGTACACGTATGAGGTGTTTTATTAAAAAGAGACAAAAAAGTAAGAGAGATAAAGACAAATTTGATCTATGTCCTAGTCTTCCCTGAGCCTGTCTTCCTATAAGATTCCAGAGAGGGTTCACGTCATTATGGTGATGTCACAGAGAAAAAATCCTAGGTTCAGGGGCACGGGTTTCAAGCCTGGAGAGACAGAAGAATCAGATACAGTTATCCCCCACCATTCTAACTCACTGCCTTTCATGCACCATGAGGCCTGGAGCAGAAGGACCAGCGCCCTGCTCTTAGGAACCACCTCCATCTTTGCCCGGCAAGGCCAGGCATCCCATCGGCTCTCAGGACAAGCCCTGCCCCTTCCGGCTGAGCCTCTGCCTCTGGCGTTGGGAACTGCTCCCTGGCTTTCTTCATCTCAGGGTGTCATCCATGATCACCTGGTCCTCTGAAGGGAGTCTGGCATCTGTCTGACACACGTTCACTTAAAGATTTACATTTTCGATTTCCTTGCCCATTTTCTGACTGCATACATAAAAGAGAATTGTAAATGTTTAGAAAAATCAAAGTTCTTCTTAGACACCTGCAGTTTCATCAAGTTAGTATTCTCTAATTCATGCCAAGAACACCCTGAAGAAATGAGGTGGAATAACCTGGCCATTTTCTTGCTGATGTTTTCCAAACTTCATTTCCTCTCACTCTTGGAGTAGCTTCAAGTTTTCCGGGCAGTTTGGAAGCTTGTCAGGCACAGCTTCCTGCTTTCCTTGGGCTGGGGTGGTGCTGGGAGACCCCCTGGCCTGCCTCGTGGAGTTAAGTGTTAGGGAAAGGAGGGCAAGGAGAGTGGCCGCTGCTGAGGGTGGGTGGGCGCTGAACTGGCCGAGACTGGGTCCGCACTGGGCAGTTAACTGGACGTTCCATTGCCCACTCCAGGCACAGGCCCTCTTGTCTGACCATGCCTCTGTTTCGCCATCCTTTTCTACCTGTTCCCTGTCTTTTATTTAGAACCTATGGGGTGCCCCCAGTTTGGCATAGGGCATTCCAGGCTGAGGAGGCTGCCAGCTCTTGACAAATAGCAAATACTTAAGTGTTAATTAATAAACACTCAGAAAGCATGAGCTGCATTTCCATTTGTCTCAGAGGGGAGAATGCAAATGCAGGAATCTCAGTGTTATCCCTCAGGTGAGGTGTGGAAGGTGAGCACACTGACTGATCCCAAGGAGGGCCAGTCCTAGACCTATGCTCCTGGCGCATTAGAAGGAAACTTGCTGAGGGATAGATGACGTCTAGGACTTCCAGGCCAAGTGTTGTTTATTCCATGGATCTCTGAGACCACGTTCCACAGGTTCATATCAGCTGATTGCACAGTTCTCTGCAGGTTCTTCGGTCACTGACCTTCAAATGCCCCCAGCCGGAATGCTAAGGGAGTAGCACTGTTAGGTTTCAAGTTCACATCACATCATCCCAAGAGACCCATGCTGTTCTTACTACCATACCTACCACTTGTCATTGGAAATGGAAAACTCCATCCCATCAACTAGCATTCTTCTTTCACATGCCCCACCAGGACCCTTTCAGAGAAGTCTGAAGTATAATGCATCCAATTTTTCCATGTCTTCCAACTTCTGGTTACGAGGGAGTGGGTGGGTCACATTATGATTTCCCCAGGCTTATAAGACACATTTCTATTTTCTGCCTTCTCTTTCAAGGGAGGGCCCTATCAGACCATCCTCCGGGCAGGGACAGAAGATCCTCTTCTCTAATTCTTTCCCCTGTTAGACACAGTCTTTGTGAGTGGTCCAAAGAATGAATGTGGCAGAAATATCTTTCCAATAACTGAATTCAAACCCCGATTCCACATACCCTAAGAGACTGCTGGCGTTCTCTGTCACCTCCATTGAGCAGTGCTTCAGGAGACAAATTAGCAAGAACCTGGGACTGTTCTGATTGTGTGAGACTTGGGGTGGGCACTTTGGGATATAACAAGATCTCACCAGAACAGTAAGTTTGGAAACAAGAAAGTTAAAGGGGAGAGAACCCTGGACAAGGACTCAGCTCTCCACCCTGGGACCATTCCGAGTGCTCTTCCGTTTTGGCCCACTTGCACACCATTCGTGGATCCCTAATTCCGTGTAAGCTTCTTATCCTTCAACCCCGCCTACAAAAATGAGAACATCTGGGAATTCTCAGGCAGGGTGGTAGGGGAAATCATTTCATGGGTCTTCTCCCTCTCCCACCCTCATAACCTTTTATTGCTCACAGTTCACTGTCTCACTCTTTCCTCTGCCTCCCACCACCATTCTTTTGCACACACAGGTCCTGTGGGAAACTTCGGCTGGGGAGGGATTCACGTTCTTTTGGAACAGCCGCCAAATAATGATAGTCTCAATGAAATGCCTGTCTGGAAATATCAACTCCCCTTTTAACATTCTCTTCTTCCAGCTCAATATGGAGCAATTTCAAGGCTTGCCACAGCTAGAGCTTGGGGTCTGTCCTTGATTTCTGCTTCTGATCTATTGTGCATTCCTGCGAACAATCTGGGGATGGGAGCGAGGTAGCAACAATGAAGCGAAGTCTCTGAAACCAAAAGATAATTGAGAAATCCCAGTAAGTTAATTCCCTTTGGCCCAGAGCTCACATATGGTCAACACATTAGAGACCTTGTCCGAAAGACCAGCTTGGTAGGAATGATTTCTGTCATAACTCAGACTACCTTCCCCCAAATAATCAGGCCATCAGGGCTCCGTGTGCCTTGGGTCCGTGGCAGGTTTGACCATGTCACTGGTTTTAAACCCAACTTGATGTCCCTTCTAAGAATGGTCCACACTCTATGAGATAAAGTAGCTGCCTTCGTGAGTGATTGCTTCCAGACCCAATGAAGAGAAACTCGTGTGTTTGAAATGCCTGCCATTCTTCTCCATTTCACCATAAAGTAGCCAATTTAATTTTGCCCAGTACTGTTTGATAACAACCATGTGTGTGTCTTCTGTATTTATATACTCAGGAAAGGACCTACTTGGTCAGTGTGAGATAATTTCATAAGAAAAATGGAACCAGATGTGACTCCTTTTATTTGGTTCTACAAACTCAAGCAATCTAATTCCCAGGGTCAGTCTTTACTTGGGTTTTCAGTTACCTTGCAGAAGAGGATCCTTTTACACTATAATGTTTGCTTTTCTGAGGTACCTGAAAAACAGGAGTGGGCAAATGATTTCAGGGAGTTGGATCTTAGCTCAGCACTTTCCAACATTTCCAGGATAGAGATTCAGTGGGCTAGAAGTTTCCTCTTTTGGAATAGAACATGTCTATCCAATAATAGGCTTATCTGCTCCAGCTAAGCCATTCTTACAACTACTGAGAATATACAAGCACTTTGGGCCTTAGATCCAAGGTCAAATAGTGCTAAGATGACTCATACAACACTCCAAAGCAAAGGAGTGGGCAGACCTGACATCAGAGAAAGGCAGACTTTTCTCTCTTTTCATCTTATTCCTGTTTTTATTTTATTTTTTCTGTCTCACCTTGTGCAGGTAAGCCTGCCATGTACAGTGGCACAATTTGTGTACTGTACAAAAGTACTCAGACAAGAGTGAATGGAGGCTGAAATCTAGCCCATGCTGTGCTTCTTAAGTGACATACCCCAGCAGGAGGATAGCTACCTAGAGGAAGAAATGCCTTATTTTTTATCCATAAGTACAATCGTACTTTTCAATAGGCCACATTCCTGTAGTCTGCCTTGCCTTTCAGAGACACTAAGACTGGTCATTAAGAGAGGCTTTAGATCCAAGTTAGTAGGTAAATATGTGGAACTTGTTGATTAGACATCACTAGTCGATCCTGGAATTTTTACACACTGAGCCCAAATTGGTCTTAACAACCCTTCTCTACCCAGTGAATCACTCTCCTCAGTCTCTACCCACTGAGCTGATGAGCTACAGGAAACCTATCTGCTATCTGTCTCAGCCAGCGATTGCCACAATAATGCTGCATAACAAACCACCCCAAAACTCAACAGCTTAAAACAAGAGTCATTTATTTTTGTTCACCCACTTTGGAGGCACCTGAAATTTGGCTGTTATATGGCAAATCATTCAAGGAGGGCTCTGCTTCAAGCTTCAGTCCAGCTGGGCTTGGCTCCTCATTGCGGCTGGGGCTCAGGTGTTCCATGTGTGTCCATTCCAGGGCCTGTGCTAGAGGGTCAGCAGCCAGCCAGAGGACACTCTTCTCCTGTTGTGAGCAGAGGCACATAAGGGCCAGACCAGCCACGCAAGCACATTTCTAACAACACTGCCCTGGCCCAATCACACAACGCAGTAGCCAAGCCCAAAATCAAGGGGCAGGAAGTACGCCCCTCCCACCCTAAGACCAAGGGGGTGGTGAAGAATTATAACCAAGCCCTGGAGCCATCACACCACGCCTGCTCTGAGCAAAGGGCCGGGGTGGCGTCAAACCACATTTGGTGTGATGACCCCTACTTGGCTGATAAAACCCTTAACATCATCAGCAAACCACCCTTCCCTAGCCAGTCAGCCTCCTGGCCCAGGTATGTGGATAACAGGGAAGACTGAACTTCAGAGCCCAGGGTGCTGGGGTACACTGCTTCTTTATATGCCCTGGCCAGTAAACCTACTGTTTAATGGTAATTAAGATGGAGCTTGCTTTAGAAAATGGGTACATGTAAACACTGAGAGGGCCAGGTGGATTCAGGGGGCCTGGGCTTCAAGGTATGTGATATAGAAGAACAAGAGAGTAAAGTAGAAAGAGCAGAGATGATGGTAGTTTAGCACAGGGGCGCCCTCCCAATGCCCCCGTGGAAGTAAGCATGGGCCTGGAATCCCCTGCTGATCCTAAGAAGCCTTTCATTTTCAATCATCAAAAATGAAACATCCCTTTAGGCCATACTGTCTTATGACCATCATCAAAGATTAACCCAGAAAATTACAGAGCCACAGTCCTGCCCTCCAGGAGTTCATGATCTGAGACACACAGGCCACAACTCTGAGGAGTGAACCACCAAGACACTGTGAAACGGGGAGGTGGTAAAGGGGGTTACAACTGTAGGTAAGATAAAGCAGGGATCAATCCAGGCAGACTCTCTGGAGGAATGGGCATTTAGGAACTTCTTATGGAACGAAGTTCTGTCATCTTTGAACAATGGCTGACTTCATAGAGGTCATGGAAGAAGTGGGGTGTGGAAAGAGATGACATTCACTGCAGGATAAGCTGATGGGAGAGGAAGAGAAATTAGGAGAGAGCTGCATGGAAGGGTCTGAGAGCACTTGGTCTCATGTACTTCAATTGACAGTCAAGAGCTTTGCACCAGCTGCCTTTTTTAAATTTAAACTTACAATGGAGGATATAAAAAGAAAAAGTGGTGGGAAGACTTGTGACCTCCTAATCAGAGACTTAGTAAAGGGAATTAGGAAGAGGATGGCCCACCAAATCTACATACTTTCCTTCCATACCGAACCACATCTAATCCACCTACAGACTGGCATCTCCAAACATGTGGGTCAAACCCCTATCAGGCCAGGCTCTGTGATAAGTACTTCACAGATTACAGCAAACCTGAGAAGTAAGGTCATTGTCCCCTTTCACAGAGAAAGCAACCGAAGCGTCATGAAGACACATTACTTAGCCGAGGTTACCTGGTTAGGGATGGCGGTGCTGGGAACTGAATCCAGGCTGTCTGAGTTTAGAACCCACATCCTTCATCGCTATACCATATTACAGTATTTTCTAAGAGGCATTGCTTGCTTGAAAGGTACCACATACATTGAGGTACTTGAGTCAGGCCCAGCCAGCAACTCTAGGATTCATTTGCCAATCAGACTACGAAGGTGTCAGCTGTCCAGAAAACGACTGTGGCCTCATTTTCCACATTGTACCAGAGAACATGTTTCCTAAAGCAACGAAGACCCTTGGGATTTTTCTTTTATCAAATAAGTCCCAGGGCTTTCCCTCTGCATTGCAAACTCTTAGCACGTTTCCTTTTGGAGAGAAGTTCAGTGTCACTGACGGCCAAGGGGGGTGCCGAGAGAAACACATTCTTCCCTTTCAAGCCAGGTTAGCCAAGTGTGGTTTGTCGGCAGGTTAGTCATTGATTTTCCTCTTTTCACCAGACAGCACTGCCCTAGTTACCTGGATAAAAGCCGAGGAATAAAGACAGAATTGAATGGTCTAGGTTGAAAGAAAACTTTTGAAACAGGTTAGGAGACTCCAGTTGGGGGCTGATTTGTAGTGTGAGATGCTCTTACATGAGCAAGGTGTCCATGGTTGTTTAGATGTGGTTGAGAGGGAGGGAGAGGTTGTATAATTACCACTCCTGCCAAAAGCCGAAAGGAAACCACTTGCTTTTGTCTTCCTTTTTGTTTCTTGTACCCTGTACCCTGTTCTGCAAGCTCTACTTTCAGCTTGGCATTTCTAAAAGCATTTAGAGTACTGTTGCTGTAATGTCAAGCTCAATGCAACCCATGCATAAATTTCATTGTTGCCAAGGCTCCAGTTTTGCAAACAACTGACTCAAAGTCACCACAGTGCGCCTATCAATACTAGGTCAGGGGTGGGGGATGAAATGAAAGCCACATTACCCGAATCTGTGGCGAAGTATGCCCTGCTCAAGGCACCCAGGGACCATTTCCAGAAGAATCGTCCCCCTGTAGAGTCCAGAGGTTCAGGGAAGGTAATGCACCTTTGGTAAAAATGAAGTAGAGGAAAATGGTGGGAATGGAAAATCAGAAATGTCAATTCATGTCCACAAATACTCTTCGAGTGCCTATAATGTGCCAGGAAGTATGCTAAATAATGCAAAGAACAAAATCCATTTTTAGCCACTTTTCACGAGAACCTCAAGAAATAATATTAACAAGAGGAAACAAAACAAATAGGCAGACCTGGTTCTCTTTCCAGGCCACAGGACTAAGGGTTCTGAATGGGATCAGTTAAGAGAAAGAGAACTCTATGTACAAAATTTTGTGACCGCTGATGCAAGCCAAGCATCCCTTAGCTTTGTGTGGCTTCTGGACCAGACTTCCCACTTAGCTGGCGTAGTCAAGATAAAGATCATTCAAGATTCCCATCAACAGAGCAAAGACCAGGTGATTTTCTAATATGGGGATGGTTTGAGTTCAACTGTCCGTGCATCTCTATATGGTTTGTCTTGTGATAAATGGCAACTCTTTGCAAGATGGGTGATCAAAGTTAGAGTTAGTCGAAGTAAAACTATTTGGTCCATCTGGGCCAAGGCAACCCCTTAATTCTGGCCTTATTAATGCTGTTCTTACTTGTTAACCAGCTCAGGCACTAGTTGACTCACTCCTTTTTTTCTTCTTAGCACACAAAAAGATTTTTATGTCCAGGTATCTCTCAGGAAGCTCCATTTTAACCCGCTTTCAGAAAACAGCCACTCCTTTTCAGCCCTAACTTACCCGGAGAGACTCAGAGATCTGCACTAAGTCACAAAAGTCTCTTGAGCTCAATTTCCAGACCACCTCACAGGTCAAGCCAGGTTTTGGGGGTGAGTGAAAATTAAAGCAACATGTGCAGCCAAATGTGTGCAGGTTGGGGATTTGTGATATTCGAGAATCTTCAGAGCTATCTGCCCGGTGTGAAAGGAAAGCTGTTTCTGCTCTGCAGATGTGGGTCCATATCTCAAGAGCAAGAATATTGTTTCTTGCACTTTTCACCCATAACAGAGGCTGACAATAGCCCTTCTTGCCTGTTTTCTCAGGGATACGATCCTCTCCCCCACCGCCTCTAAAGCTGGGCCTGCGGCCTAAAGACTACAGTGACCGTCTTCCCTTGCAGTTGACTAAACGCTATTCAATGAGGTACAGGAAATGGTTAGTGCTAATGCTGGGAATATTCTTTTTTTTTTTAAACTTTTTATTAAGGTATTATCGATATATACTCTTATGAAGGTTTCACATGAAAAAACAATGTGGTTACTGCATTTACCCATATTATCAAGCCCCCACCCATACCCCAATCCAGTCACTGTCCATCAGTGTAGTAAGATGGCACATATCCACTATTTGTCTTCTCTGTGCTACACTGTTCTCCCCGTGACCCCCACACCATGTGCACTAAACATAATACCCCTCAATCCCCTTCTCCCTCCCTCTCCACCCACCCTCCCCTATCCCTCCCCTTTGGTAACCACTAGTCCCTTCTTGGGTTCTGTGAGTCTGCTTCTGTTTTGTTCCTTCAGTTTTGTTTCGTTGTTAAACTCCACAAATGAGCGAAATCATTTGGCACTTGTCTTTCTCCGCCTGGTTTATTTCACTGAGCATAATGCCCTCCAGCTCCATCCATGTTGTCGCAAATGGTAGGATTTATTTCTTATGGCTGAATAGTATTACATTGTGTATATGTACCACGTCTTCTTTATCCATTCATCTACTGATGGACACCTAGGTTGCTTCCATATCTTGGCTATTGTAAATAGTGCTGTGATAAACATAGGGGTGCATCTGTCTTTTTGAATCTGAGAACTTGTATTCTTTGGGTAAATTCCAAGGAGTGGGATTCCCAGATCAAATGATACTTCTACTTTTAGTTTTTGGAGGAACCTTCATATTGCTTTCCACAATGGTTGAACTAGCTTACGTTCTCACCAGCAGTTTCTGAGAACATTCTTAAAGGAAGGGAATGTGTGCTTATCCTCTTGCTTTTTTCCTTCCTGCTGGCTGAATGCAGACTTGATGGCCAGAACTAAAGCAACACTTTTGGTCCATGAAGACAAGGGCTATTCTATATGGCAATGGTCCTCCAAATTTTTGGTCTCAGACCTCCCTTTGCATGTGTAAACATTCTTAAAGATTAACTGAAATTTTGCCTATGTAGGTTATATTTACTGATATTCATAGTACTAGAAATTAAAACAGAAAATTTAAAACTCAAGTGTACATGAGCACATATTCCATTAGCTTCAGAGCAACAACACTGTGACATATCATGTAACCTCTAGAACATTCCACTGTACATCATACTTGAGAGAGAATAAGTGAAAAGGCAAGTGACATCTTAGTTTACATAAAAATGTACTTGATCTTGATACCAAAATAAAAAAATAAAAATAAAAAATTTAAAAATATAAACAAACAAATAAATAAATAAATAAAATATATACTTGATCTCATAGATCTCCTGAAAGGATCTCAGAGACCCCAAAATCCCTAAGGGATGACAGAACAGTCACTGGAAGGCGTCTTGTGTAGATGTTGGAGGAATTTGTGGAGCAAGTGACCGCTATATCGGACATAGGCTGTCAACCTCCAGGCTCTTCATATGAGAAAATTTAAATTAAACTTTGTTGTTGAAGGTTTTGCTATTTAGAGTCATTTGTCCCTTGTGGAGCAACTTAATCCTAAATAACACACTCTCCTTGGAGGTTCAGTGGGATGTACCCTTTGACTGTGGCCTTATCCTCTGATATTTGTCTCCCCAGAGGCTGAAAGTAACACATGCATTCTGATGCAATTGAGCAACTATTTTTAAAAGAAAAAAAGTTTCAAGAAGGCATTGCTCTTTCTCCTTTGTCAGTTTTTAAATAAAAATATCATCTTCAACTTACATGGCGAGGGGAGGAAGAGATGAAAAGTCTGAACCACTGATTGATTCATCTTGCTGGGCAATTATGCTACGCTGTAAAACTTGTTCCTGAATATGAAAGCACAAAGCAGGTCACAGTTAACATGAACTTAATCTTCTCAGTACCCCAGTGGGATATATGTTATTATCCCCATTCTGCAGATGAGGAAGCTGAGACATGAAGGAGCTTGCCAATTACTATACGTAGTGTTTTCCATTTTCAAAGCATCCCTGCTCATTAATTATCATGTCCACTCAATAAGCCAATGAGGTAAGTAAGTGCCCTTTGTATGCACATCCAAGCATCCTTAAGCCCTTTATGGATCCTGAATTCATTAATATTCTTCCAACATCCCCTGAAGCTGTGGTGTATGTGGAAGAGAGAGGAGTAAGTATGCAGAGGTGAGAAAGAACTTCCTCAAATCAGAATGTCCACCTGGGACCCTCATCCCTCACTCCTGCTCTGAACTCCTCTCTGAGTCTGATACCAATTATCTTCAGGGAGGAATCTGCCCCAGTTATCTCCTCCAGGGTGTGCTGTACATACAGATCCATGAAACACCGCTGCCTGGCCCAGCCAACGCTCAGCTGCATCCTGCATCCCAGTAGAAACACCCTTCTTGAAGGAGTCCTAAGATCATTCAATAGCCCCTCCAAACTCTCAGACGGTATTTTCAGTAGGTCTGAAATAGAGTAAGAGGAGGAAAACTATCAAGCTATTTATACTCCTCTGATGGCTCTAAGTGGTTGGGAAAATGACACCCCCCCCACCTCCAAATCCAGTGGTAGATGCTGCTGCAAAATATGACGTGACATTTATAGCTTGCAACATAGTGCCATGGGGGAGTATGCTCAAGTGTTACCATCCCTGCATGCAGTTTAGTTTTGGGGGGGAATTTATGGGGAATGCTCAAGTGTTACCATCCCTGCATGCAATTTAATTTTTTTAGTGCTGGTGTTGGTGGGGGAAGAAATAGAAATAAGGCAGCCTTTTGGGAGGTGGGTATGACATTCACAAAAGCATTTTGTAAGTCTATAAGTAATGCCAAGTTGCAAGTAATGTCAAGTTACAGATAGCAAAATTAGTCACATTACAAGGGAAAATGAATAAAGTAGGTCAACATAATTTTTCAGAATAATGAGCATTTTTAAAAAATGAGTGTTGAGTTTTTCCCTCATATTGCTACTCCACAGCAAGGTGAGAATGTGTGTATTATTGAAGAATGTGTAAAGATAAACCAGGTTTTTGTCTTAATATAATACATAGAATTTACTAGTTTTCAATGTGATATTAATACAAATAACATTCTTGCTCACATTTAAAAAAAATCTTTCCTCTTCCTCTTCCTAATTAAAAAGATGATTTGTGGACAAAACAGGAAAACCCAGCCATGCCTATCAAAATCACAACCCACGAGCATTATAATAATTCACTATTACCACAACCGTCAATGAAACATCAGTACTTTGGATTCATTACTGGCTTGACATTTTTATAGGGATGACTGAGAACCCACACCAATCCATTGATTCAGATGGAGACCAAGATGATGAACTGTGTTTCCCACCGTTAAGACTCCATCATCAACAACAGGACACATCCATTTTATTCTAAGTAACAAAGTAACTGGGAATGCTTAAAACAATATTGAGAATGCATGCTCCAAACCAAAGCACTCCGACGGCGGTCCTTGCTGTTGGTTCACCAACTGTTGTTACCGTTCCTGATGTTGCATGAAAGCACAGGAATTGACACTGAGCCTCTAGAAACCTTTATAGCAATTTAACTTTGCCGTCACATCCAAGCACGTGATCCCTGGACTTGTCTCACTGCGCAGTGTTTAGACCATTTCTGGAGCTGTCTAACTCTCATGGTGAGTCATGCTGGTGATAGCTGCCTCCTAGTCTTGGGCAGTAGGACCATGTATTGGTCTGTGATGGATTGAAAATTAAAATGAAACAAAACGAAACAAAACAAAAAGACAAAAACTATAGCAACTATAAAACTATAACAGAAAGTTTGAGAAGCACTGCTATTGCCCATGTTAGTTATGGGACCAGTCTCAGCCACTTATCCTCCATAGAGGTGGGTATTTTGCTGATGGGCAGAGTTGGGTACAGAGATTTGAATTCCTAATAAGGGAGCCCCCTAGGGCAGCCATGTCCTTCCAACCTGGGATGTAGGTATCTGGAAGAGCACTGGAGTTGTTTGGAGGGGAAGGAAATGACCGTCTTACCATGGAGGTTGCCAGGTCAATGAGCAGAACATGAGCAGAATCCATCATGTGGACTCAGCCCCAAGACTGACATGACAAATGTTCCAAATCCCTGGCTGCAGGCAGATCCCTAACTTCCCAGTTCCAGAAATTTTGAGGCAAGGCAAAACTGATGTCTTTGCAAAACTCTTTTTGGGCACAATATTTGATCAGATGCAAGAGAGAGTAAGTTTCTCAGTTATCAAGTGACTCAAGGACACCTGTATACCCAGTTTGTTCATCTAGAACAAGTATCAGAGGTAATTGATGATTATACTGAAGTGGGGGTGGTGAGCACGAGAAGAATTTTTCCTAACACCCATCTTAATCAATGAACTTCTTTGAATATTTTCTAAGTTTAGGTTTTAAAGGTGAATTTGTGCCGATATACAGTTGACCCTTGAACAACACAGGTTTGAACTGTGCAGATCCACTTATATGTGGATTTTTTTCAATATATATATTGGAAAAAATTTTTGAAGCTCTGCAAAAAATGAAAAAGAAACCACTTTCTTTTCTCTAGCTTACTTTATTGTAAGAATACAGTGTGTATATATAATACATACAACATACAAAATATGTGTTAATTGACTGTGTTATTGGTAAGGCTTCTAGTCAACAGTAAGCTATCAGTAGTTAAGTTTTGGGAGAGTCAAAGTTATACATGGAATTTTGACTGTGCAGAGGGGTCAGGGCCCTTAAACCCTGCGTTGGTTAAGAGTCAACTGTATTCATTCAGAGAATGTGCCAGTCTCTGGAAGCTTCCCATGGCTAGAGGTATGCTACCCAGTGCCACGGTCCACAGCCCCTCTCCGGCCCCCTCTTTTGCCTGTGGGTCTTCTAATAGCTGAGTTGGAATCAAACATTCAAGGGAAAAATATTCTAAGCCACAGTTCAAGAACAGTATGTCTGTAATTAAGAAAATATTTTTAGTCCTTAAGCTGAAAACCCAACACATGTTAAATCCATGAAACAGACAAAAGAAAGCTGAACCCTTGAAACATTTCATTTTTTAAAATATGCAGATTTCTAAGAAAATGTCCCTCTGCGGGTATATTAAATATTTACTTAATATTAATTGACAGTCTTGTCAGAGTGAGAAGAATGGTTTAAGGAACATGCCTTTGGCCAGAGTGCTACATGCTGCTGTGTTCTGTAATACTTTCCAGTAATTGGGAAAGGACAGTTAAGTATCTCTCCGTATTGAATCATAATGGAAAGAATCAAAATTCAAGAATTATCTTATAGGCAAAAGTTTGGACAGTTCTTCCTAGAAATGGGGATGACCCAGAAGGTTGTAGCTCAGGTTCCCTCAAATGTTAAACTCCCAGGATAACTAACTTTAAATCAAGGGTATGTCTCTTGATTGCTCAGATAGGCTTAATTAAAAATGCTTTTACTAAATGTGCTTTGAACTTGAGTGAAGTTTGCCAGAGCCTTGAATAACTTATCAACATGCGGGCCAGCAGGACTTTCCTCGCTGCCCTGCCCTCCTCCCCTCCCTCCTTTCCTTCTTCCTTTCCACTTCCCCCACCCCTGGCACATCTCTTTCCTTCTCCTCTACCTTGTCTGGTCCTCCTTTTCCTTACTTCCTTACCTGCTCCCTTCCCTCCCTTCCATCCCTTCCCCTCCCCTCCCCTCCCTTCCCCTCCCCTCCCCTTCTTTCCCTTCCCTTACCCTCCCCCCTCCCATCCCCT